CAGTGTGTGCAGGGCAGCGCGTGGAGTGAGCTGGGCATGAGCATCCCTGCAGCACAGAGTGGGGCCTGGCAGGGCACAGTGGTACCCATGGACCGAGCTGGGCAGGTGCTGGTGGGAGCAGCCAGGGCTCCTGGCACAGGCACATCCTGTGAGGTGGGGATAGGAGGCGGCTGAGCCTGGCACCTTCAGCACAGTGTCACGGCCCCATCGGCATGGCACAGCGGTGTCACAGCTGCAGGTCAGCCTCGTCCCACGGCTCCTTGCTCGCCCTGTCCTGCCCTCTGGTGTTTCTCTCAGCAGTAATGCACACAGAGCAGGCCTGGAGTTCTGCCTCGCCAGCCCTGTGCCAGCCAGCACTGAGCTCCCATCCCGTCTCTCTGCAGGTGAACAACGCCACAGCCCGGGTGATGACGAACAAGAAGACTGCAAACCCCTACACTAACGGTAGGGACCAGTGCAAAGAGAGATCGAGTGGGCACAGGCACAGCTGAGGTGCTGAGCAGCCCTGGGCACCATTTCCGTTGCTGCAAGGCTAGGCTGCAGCACGTGTGCTCTGTGCCCTTGGCCAGAGGCAGCAGTGGCTGCTCCCTGCTGAACCTGGCAGCGTGCCTCCGTGCCATCCAGGGATGGGAGCCATGGGGGGAGCCCAGTGGGGTGCCAGGATGGGTGCACAGAGCCGCGGGTCTCCCCCAACTCACCAGCCTTCCCTGCTTGCAGGCTGGAAGCTGAACCCAGTGGTGGGAGCTGTCTACGGCCCTGAGTTCTATGCAGGTAAAACCTCAGCTCCGTCCTGGGGCTGTGCTGTGTTCCACCCCACTGCTCCTCCAAGCAGCCCCCTGCACGCCCCTCTTCCCCTCCCCCCTGCTCCCCAGCATGCACACTCCCCCCACACCCCATTTTCCCCCAGCGTATTTGCAGGGGCCGTGTCCCAGCAGCCTCATCCCCGGGGCAGTGCTGTGGGCACAGATTGATGCTCCAGCACGGGATGTACTGCAGTGACCGCAGGTGGGCACCGCTGCAGGAATCCCATCTTTGTCCCCTCCCTCCTGCAGTAACGGGGTTCCCATACCCTGCCACGGGGACAGCTGTGGCCTACCGAGGGGCACACCTACGGGGACGAGGACGCGCCGTCTACAACACGTTCCGGGCTGCACCCCCACCGCCACCCATCCCCACCTATGGCGCGTGAGTACCAGAGCTGGCGGGGGGTCGGTGCCACTTGGACCCCAAGGCCTGGGGGTCCCACCTTGTGCTGCAGCCCAGCACGGCTACGGGGGCTCGGCCCCTTCCCGTCCCACTCTGTGCACGCTGCAGCAGCTGCCTCTTGGCCGGCCCTGCTGCTGACTCGGCCCTCAGGGGTGCCCCAAGAAGGTGCCTTCTGTTTGGTTTTCCATTTGGTGCTGAATTGCCTCAATTCTGCTGCTGTCAGTGTCTGCGCTGCTGGCTCCTGCACCTCCTGCAGGGAGGTGTTGGGGAGCAAGCTGCAGCTCCTTGGCGCCTGTCTGGCCTCCACCTCTGAGATGCTCCTGCACTGATTCAGCCCAGGCTATTCTCTGCTATCCCCATGGCCCTGCCCACCATGCTTGGAGCTCCAGCCCAGGCCATGCCCTCATTCTGCACCCCCAGCACCTCTAGCTGCCTTGACAGCCACTTCTCATCCCTCCGTACCCAACTCCCTGCAGGTCACTGGTGTCACCTCCATCCATCCTACCTGGCAGCAACAGCTGTCCACATAGAGCAGAGTGCATTTATCAGAGCTTTAAGCCGAGGTGCAGATTGCAAGCAGAACCCAGGACAGTCACAGCCAGCCTCTGTGTGGCTGCAGGGCTCTGTGTCCCTGGGTGTCTGTCTCCAGGTTTCCCTGCAGCTCTGCTGCTCACCTTGCTCCATGCACCCACCTTGGGTTGAGCACTGCCTGGGGATTTTGCTGCCCTCATGCCTGGTGGGGCTGAGTGTGCCAGACCCTGCAACCCCAACCTCCCCGCGTCCCCTCAGCATGACCGTGGGCATAGCTGGGTTGTCTCCAAGTGCAATGCCTGCTGCCCACAGCTTTTGACTCCTGTGCCCCTTTTGCAGGGTTGTCTACCAGGATGGATTCTATGGAGCAGAAATCTACGTAAGTGCTGCCTGCAGGGATGCTGTGCAGGGATGGGTGTGCTGCCCATCGGGCACTGCTCCTCCTGCACACCGCAGTGCTGGGGACCTGGGGGGGGGGGGGGGGGGGTGAGTGGCCGAGCTGCTGTGCGGGTGGGGGTGGCACAGTGTGGGTTTATGGCCCCAGCCCCATGGGATTGATGTCCTCGGTGCGTGTCGGTGCGCTGTCTTACACCAGCATTTAACCTCCATATTTAAAAAGCCATTGGCGATATTTCAGGCGGGCGGCTGAAGGATTTATCTAACGTGACACCTCATTAAAGCGATCAGGGAGGTGACATTCTCTCCTCTGGAAATTTAATTTTTTAAGGTTAATGTTTGTGAAAGCCCCTGGGGAATGGTAATGAGGCTGGTACGCGCCCGGCGGTTCAGCTGTCCGCAGGGTTCCAACTGCTGCTCTGCAGCCCCTGGGGGGCGGACCGGGGGGGGGGGGGGCCCCCCCCCCCCCCCCCCCCCCCCCCCCAGCAGGGCCTCCCTCTCACAGCCACCTCTCTCTGTCCCCCTGCTGCAGGGGGGCTATGCTGCCTACAGATACGCGCAGCCTGCGGCCGCAGCAGCAGCATACAGCGACAGGTAAGCAGCGGCGTAATTCGGGGGGAGGTTGAGGTGCCCCATATGGCAGAGCACGGCTCCTGCAGCCTGAGGACGGGGCTGGGCACAGCGTGGCACTCTCAGATCAGAGCTCCCTGGGCTGTGGGTGGGGGGCAGGGGGAGCAGCAGAGGACCCATCCCCAAGGCCAGTAACACCCCGCTGCTGTTTGCTCCTAGTTACGGCCGAGTGTACGCAGCCGCAGACCCCTACCACCACACCATCGGCCCCGCCGCCACGTACAGCATCGGCACCATGGTAAGAGCAGCTCTCGTGGCCTTTCTTTGCATCCCGACGCGCCCCACGTGAGCTGCAGCCGGCCTGGGGGGGTCGGGGGCTGCGGGAGGGGTGCGGAGCAGCACAGCCCCTGCGTGGCATCGTCCCCAGCAGGACCCAGGCAGTGTGCAGGGAGCAATCTGTAGCTAGCCTCGCAACCAGCATCAAAGATGAAAAATCCCACTTGTGGGTGGGATCTCAAGCCAAATGGCCTTTTTCTTCCTTTTTAAATTGGTATTTATTTTTCACCCTCCCACATCCCCCGGTTGAGCCCTGGCCACCGGGACCCCCCTGCCCCTCCTCAGCCCATATTGTCCCCATGGCAGCACTGGGTGCCCCAGGTGAGCCTGCCCTGTGCACCCCAAGGACAGAATTTTAAAAAATAATAATAATAATTTTTAAAAAAATAGAAAACAAGAAAGGGAAGAAATGGGCTTTGCCTTTCTCTTGAATACTGATTGGCTTTTTTTTTTTTTTCATCTTTGATGTTGCAGGCTAGTCTATACCGAGGAGGGTACAGCCGCTTCACTCCCTACTAGCAAGACAGACCCAGCCCCTCACAGCACTAACACTGACCGCTCACTAGAAACCAAACCAGGCAGACTAAGCAGAGGCAGAGCCTCCCGGAGGAACCGAGCCCTGCCTGCGGGCTCTGCCCCGCGATAGGTTCACCTCGAGCCGCTCCGCCGCAGCCTCCATCCCACCCAGCCCGGGCATAGCGCTGCTGGGGGGCGGCTGGGAGTGGAGCTGTGGGACTGTGGGTGCTGCCCTGCTCGGGGCGAGGGCTTGGCCCCATAGGTGAGGCAGGGGTGGGGGGTGTGGGGCTGTGCTGGGGCTGGCGGCTCCCACGAAAGCTCTGCCTTTCTGTTTCTGTTGTAGTGAACACGCAGCCGTTTTCCTTCTGGGACCAGGAAGGGCAAAACAAACCACAAACACACACACACAC